ACACCCTCTTTTAGCATTGTGGTGGTATGACTTTTCACTAGATGGGGAAGATTCAATATCCGGGATTGATATCGTGACAGCCAAATTAAATGCTTTTTGTGGGCTTACCGATTCCAACGTTCGTTTATACAATTGGTAATGCAACGCAATTGGATTAGCAAACTTCAAACGGAGGTTATTCAAAACCTGTGCTTGCTCGGAGCTGTACACGTACTGACTGCAAAATCCTGTGCTTGCTCGGAACTGCAGACGTACAGTACAGGGGGAAAATCTCTTCCTTTGTCTGGGGATAGAAAAAAAAATGTGTTACTAAAATCAATTTTTGCAATATTGATGCTCTTTACCAAAACGATAAGCAGAATTGTCTTAATTTTGCTATGTCATACACACAGAAGCAAGATTGAAGTTGCTGCTCTAACTTCTGTACCTTAGAAATAACAATTCTTGCACTATCACAACTCTCTAAATGGTTAACTGTGCTCTACCAACAACGACATCAAGATAGCACACCTTGTTACAGCTTTTCTGCTGTCAAGGCCCCGCCGACGCCTGTCGTGTTTCACCGCGGTAGTTGCTGGGTACAGATGTTTATATGATACCTCAAGCTGTACGTTAGTAATGTTAGTTCTCGTGTATTTCAGTGTGTTATTGCAGTAATTGCGGCAAATTTTAGTATTGTTCGTGGTTGTTGTGCCGCTACTATTACTGTCATGGAAGTAAATTCAGTACTATATTGGACGATATATGCTCCTGCCGCTCGCCTACTTCGCGACCGACCCATTGAGATGGTTTGTCCCGTTCAAAATGTCCGGGTTTGTCCGCGCACCGTTTATTGCAGTAGTGAGCGGAATGGTTCATCCCACCACACGCGGCGCATGGTCCGTAATGCGGACGTCGGTTGTCTCTGTTGGACGGGACGGCTGCGCGTCTTGCAGCTGTCTCCGAGCCTTTGTCGAGCTTCGAGGACGAGGCAGATTATGGAACGGGCGCCCAAGATGACTACGATGATTATGAGGATAAGACGCCGGCTCCAGGGCCAGGTGCAGTGACACCGGAGACGGCCACGCTATCGT